ACAATGATTACGTTTATTTGCTCATATTTTTAATGCTATTCTGAATCATTATGAAAATAAATATATAAAATTAAAAGCCAGATTTTTAATAAAGATTGTGCTTCTTGGCATTTGTAATTAGTAATGATGTAATTTTTCTAGAAAATTTGAAAATGAAAACATTATCCAAACTGTTATGTCCTAAATTCAGTGAGATCAGATTTATTATGGTTTTATGTTTGATAAACAAAACTTAAAATTACAACATATCAAATATGTACTGTATAACACCCCTAAATGTTTTCCAATAAAAAAAAATAATGAAACATTTCATTATAAAAAAAACACAGTAAAGTTCATTTATAAAGCAATGCTACACATTTCTTCTAAGAGGTACGTTGTATTTATTTCTAGAGTAAAGTTCTACACATACTTTCCCAGGAATAAACCCAGTTGGACCTGGTAATATGGGCAGGGTTGTCCTGTAAATTTGACCTTTGAAAATATCTGTTTACTTGAAAATTATTTTTATTGAAATATTAATAAAACTGTAAATTTCTTAGAAAAATAGAATATTATTAGTGCAAATAAATTGTTTTCTCTTTTGTAGAAGAATGGCTCTTAGTTGGGACTAAACAAGGACATCTTCTACTTTATAGAATTAGAAAAGAAACTGGTAAGTTTGTAATGATTTAGCCAAGCTTCTGCATATTGGCAAAATAGGAGCAACTGAGGACAGTTGAGAACCATCTGTAACTTCATTGCATTTTATGGCAGGCTCATACAAGACGGGTCTTGTACATAGTTGTGGCAGAATATATGCAAGAACCAAAAACTTGTTTAGCCTCATGCTGGCTGGGTTTACATATTGTGCTAATTTATGATGTGTTTTTTTTTGTTTTAGATTTAGTGTGTTATATGAACCCAGCCATTTTGCTTTGTAAACTGTAGTTTGTGCCATAGCATTATGTGTGAACCCTTCCAGTTAAAGCTTATTCAACAAATAAACTTAATGTTATTTATAATCCAATCACTGTTTATAAAACCTCTATGATAAAAAGCTTTATTGACTGACCTGAAGTGTCCTATGTTCCTTGTAGCATGCTTAATTTCCATGCAAATTTTTTCTCACAAAGTTTAGACAAACACAAATATTTACTTTCCAAACTTTAATTATTCAGATTGGGTTGTTATACTACTCAATATCTTCTTGATTGAAGACAAAGTACATTGTGCAAGCATGGGTTCAATTTGTGGAGTTAGTACCAGAGACCAGACTAGATATAATGAAGATCACACAATTGGGAGATGTAACTTAAAAAAATATATATTTAGCAAATAAAAATTATGAGGATTCAGATTACAATTAGGGTAAAGTAATTGCCACCTTCAGCTGTTACATCGTGAACAAAAAATAGATATGAAACGTTCAGTTACAGATTTATTGTGACAACTAGTTTGACCCTTGCTGCCCCCAAAAACTAACATATGGAATGGACAGGTTGTTATTTAAATAATTTCAGAGCTATTTTTTATTTCAGCTTGGCATCAATGAGAAACAATTTGTGCTTTAAATATCCCAGAGCAGCTGCGTGTTCCGTTTCTTATTTGGGTGTCTTTTCCACTTCAATTAATTTGTGAGATTTCACTAAAATTAACATTGAGTTAATGCATAAGTCAGTGTCAGATTCATACCTGATTCCTTTGTCTTGAAGTTGGTAAAATGTGAATTAGAATAGAAATCTGTATGAATTGCAGTTTGTCAAAAAGTATTCTCTCCCCTAGATCAACAGCTCGAAAGGATAATTAGAGCTAGTTGTGCTACATCTTCATTATATGATCATGACTGATTTGGGTCAATCCTGTCCTGTATAAATCTCACAAACTTGGGAACTCCCCATCACAGTAACATTCTTACTACACAGACTGAAAATGTTCTCTCTGTAAAAAGATAATTTGATGGCCATTAGTCTGGAAAAGGTTGCAAAACCATTTCTAAACTTCTGGGAGTCCACTAATCCACAGTCACAGAGATTGTCTTGAAATGAAAATGATTTGGGACAATAGTGGATTCTTCCTAATAGTGGGATAATCAATACTAATTTACTGAGAAGATAACTGGATATATTGTAATGTGCAGTTCAATTTTTTGCAGTCTTCAGATGGAGTTGTGAGACTTGCAGCTCCTCTAATCTCAGTACAGAAGTTTATATGACATTTTTTCTTAGCTGATAAATTCAGGTTGATTAAATAGTTTAAAACACGTCTGATGTAAATGAACCCCTATATTGTTTGATAGGTTGCAACAGGTTTGAAGTCACATTAGAAAAATCAAACAAGAACTTCTCCAAGAAGATTCAGCAGGTAGGTGTGGTAATTTCAGGTTCGACTAAGTTTGTTAATTTCTATGAACTCTGGGCTTCATTTTAAGGAGGTTGGTGGGATTGGAAATGGTTGTACAACTGAGCTTGGCTTCTAGAATATTTTAATTACTTTCATATTGAAATATTGAAATTATTTTCATATGGAGCCAGTTTGGTCTAGTGGTTAAGGCACCAGGCTAGAAAACAGGAGGCTGTGAGCTCTAGTCCCGCCTTAGGCATGAAGGTCGGCTGGGTGACTTTGGGCCAGTCACTCTCTCTCAGCCCAACTCACCTCACGGGGTGGTTGTTGTAGGGAAAATA